AACTTCACTTAAAAGTTCAATATTGAACATGACTGAACTGAACCTGAACCTGAACTTGACCAAAGTTCAGTTCAGTTTAGGTTTATAGGAACACTACCTTCTAGACTAGTTTGAAAACTTATTACAACCCTCCTTGTTACAAATCCATTTGCTATTCTAATAATGCTATGCATAATGATCTATGCATAATGAAAATAAAGTAATGAAAATAAATAATAAATAAATAAGCAAGAAGTTTGTTAGTTCATCGGTATTACATGATCATCATGTTGTACTCCGTTGAGCTATGTTACATTATAATTTTTTATGCTTTTTATATATTTTTCAATTTTTTATATTGTTTTTTTATACTTTTTATATTATTCTTTTAATGTTTTTTTTTTAATTTTTTTTGTGCTTTTTTCATCATTCTTTTGGTGCTTTTTTATCATTCTTTTGATACTTTTTTATTATTTTTTTGATACTTTCTTTGTTATTTTTTAATATCTTTTTTGACATCCTTTTGATACTTCTTTCATTATTCCAATATTTTTTGATCTTCTTTTAATGATTTTTTATATTTTTTAAAATTTTTCAATATTTTTTTGATATTTTTTTTGAAATTTTTTTGACATTCTTTTGATGCTTTTTTATCATTATTTAGATATTTTTTTAATATTTTTCATCATTTTTTTAGTACTTTTTTAAACTTTCTTTAAATATTTTTTATTATTTTTTTATACTTTTCAATATTTTTTTGATGCATTTTTTGATGTTTATTTGATGTTTTTTTCAAAATTTTTCATTATTTTTCATTATTTTTTTTTATTATTTTATTATAAATTAGATAATATAATTTTGCTATATATATAATTGTAATTATAATAATAATAAATTTTTTTTTTGTTGTTAAGGTGATCTCTTTGCTATGCTCTTTATTTAAATATTAGTAGTATTTTTAACTATCAGAACATTCTGATAGCTGTACATATTTGTAGAATACAACTAGCTATATTTCTACCTTTTGAGCACCTATATAAATATCTACCTATCACTAGATTCTATACTAGATGCTATACCTGTATTACACTAAAGAAGATATTTATTTAAACCCTCTGCACTTATGTACCAACCCTTTTATACCCAAGTGATGATACTTAGTGCCATCTTATTTTCATATGCTGGCTTAGAGTTTAAAAGCAGTTTCAACTATTTTAGAAAGTCTTTTGACCTTGAGGTAAACCTGCTAGAGCCTTTTATACACACATTTAGGCTGACTAGACTTTAGTAACTTATGCTTAGTCTAAGAACAAATACTTGTAGCTTTTTTATTTCTGCTACTATTATCTACTTCTGCCTTTATAGAGTTCACTTATATCTTAGCTTCAGTACTTATCCAATCAGAAACCCTTCTACTGTTTCAGCAAACTCTCAATTCAGATAGCCTAATTTGATCCACAAGTTATGTTACTCACTTTTCTACTAAGTTAATCCAAATACCAGCCTATGCTCTTTTCCTTTAGTCGATTCTGGCAGCATGATTATATAATACTCACCAAACACCTAGTCCTCATTCAAATCTGCAGCTTTTTGATCTCTTTTTAGACTTTTCAAAACCATCAAGAGTATGCACTACTTCTTTATTCAAGACTTGCCAAGCGGGTTCCTATTCAAAACTAGTCCCACAGATTTACACAGATTATAGGAACTTATCATGGGTTTATACCACCTTTTATTGGTTTGTATCTCTTCATATAAGTTCTTTATTATATAAATAACTCATGATCTTTCAAGTCTGTACTACTGCTCTGATAAGGCTTGCAAAATAACTGTTTGTTAAACGATCATTACCTCTTGCACCTATTTGATCTAACAATCATTACAGAATCTACATCCCAACATCTGAATAGTTACTATTATACAGAAGAATTTGATTTTTCATCATTGGTGGGAATTGAACTCTAAATGTACCACTTGGGAGGCGACAACTTAACCACTTCACTACACCCATCTAATAATAAAATTTTTAAAGTTAAATATATATAAAATGTATAGTATTTTTTAAACAAGATAAATATCTAGATAAATATTTAAATAAACATTGAAGTGAACATTTAGATGAATTTTGAGATGAACATTCAGGTAAATGTTGAGGTAAACATTGAGATGAAAATTCAGGTAAACATTGAGATTAATGTTGAGGTAAACATTAATATAAATGTTGAGGTAAATGTTTAGATAAATGTTTAGGTGAATGTTTAGGTGAACATTTAGATGAATGTTCAGGTGAACATTGAGGTAAATGTTCAAGTGAATGTTGAAGTAAACGTTTAGGTGAATGTTGAAGTAAACATTCAGATGAACATTCAGATGAACGTTGAGGTGAACATCCAGGTGAATGTTGAAGTGAACATTCAGATGAACGTTGAGTTCAATGTTCAGGTGAACGTTGAGTTCAACATTGAGGTGAATGTTGACGTCAACGTTTCAACGTTAATTGTATCGCTCGCAGAAATTTGTGTAAAGTGGCTTAGTCACGTGCTGGAAAATTTTTTGTGGGTGATCTACAGGGGCTGCCAAAATCATTTTGATTCTTATTGATCAATCACGTTTTATTAATGCTAAAATTTACCTGCGCCAAATTAGACATACGTATCTACGCACCTTAAAATTATTTTAACTTTCAAATGGTTATTTTTTATAACCACTATGCTCAATAAATACTGTATTCAAGTTCATACAGTAGATTTATATACAATATTCTATAGTATAATTTTGTGTACAAAAAAGTTTTTTTTAGTTTTTACATAAAGAATTTTAAAATCTGCGTTTAATTCAGTCACGTGATATTTGCAATAATCTAAAGCAGCGCAAACACTAAGTGATGTAATTGTCACGTACGACGTACGTACGTACGTACGTACAGACCGCGAAGTAAGAACCAATTTTCTACAAAAAGAACCCGATAACATATGTGAAGTACGCTTTGAGATGGCGCTCATAATCGTTATACGCACGTACGTATAGTAAATGAACAGTTATATCGTACAATGTTTTGTCTAAAAACTTCACTATTATGACAATAGCGAAGATTTATTATTTTATTTTTATTAATTACGACCCCTCGCATCTAAGGAGACTTGTTAATCTTTTTGCTCTGAATGTTTCTTGAATTATATATTACGATTGCTCATTTCAATTTTCACCAAAACTACCAAAACAGTTTATACATTTAACCATTTATCTATCTGAATCGTGTTCTCCTTCAATACCCTGAAGCCATCCGGTGACTATAGCACTCTGCGCCGGTGGACCACTAATTCGAATAGAGGAAGAAGTGACTAAAGGTGTACCGTTAATCCGATTTGAAGATGCCATATATTGTCGCCCATTAATCCGGTTTGTAGAATGCTCTAAAGTCGGCTGCCTATTTACATTCACCCATTTTGTTGCTGAGCCTGTTAATGGTACATAGTTTCGCATGTTGTTTGAGGAGACGGAAGGCTGGGATGGACGAGAGTGAGGTGCAGAGTCTACATATTTTGATGAGATATGCGTGCTGCCAACCGTAATATTATTAGGTTGTGGTGATGGAACTGATAACGGCTTCGTTCGAGTATACAACTGCATTGCAACAAAATCGTCTTCAATTTCATCTTTACTTAATTTTGTTTCACTTGGCTTATGTATTTCAGATAAGTCGATAGTTAAGAATAAATGTTTTCTTTTTTTTCTTGCTAAAGCTTTACGAATAAAAGGATATTTAAAAAAAATATACGACGCTGACTATTTTCAACACTTGTCAACGCAGGCTGTGTTTGGTCGTCCCTTACAACCAAATCGATCATTAAATCCCGAGGGTCTATAATTATTTAAGTTGTATATATTTTAATGACAATAGTTGAGTAAAAATGATAATATGATAACATTACCCTTTTTGTCAAAGTCCTTATGTTCCTTTATTAGCCTATATTTCCTGACTTCAATGTCATGTAAAATAGTTTCTCTTGCGATACGTCTCTCATGCTGAATACAATGTTATGCATACATAAATAAAAATAGGTTCATGAAAATTAATCGAGATAAAATTACTTTTATTTACCAAAGCTACGTGACGTATTTGCGAAACTTGCGATTCATACAAATTTTGGCTTTGTTGAATCTCCAGTAAACGGTTATTTTCGAGAAGTTGTTGCATTTTTTGATGTTCTTCGTCGAGTCTCCCTATGTTTTCCACATATGCTGGATGTGTCTTCTCGATTAACGATAGATACTCTTCCTCAAGTTCCTTCTTTTTATAAGCCAAAACACTGTAAAACAACCCACAAGAGAATGATCAATGCAGAACCGCAAAAAGCAATAATTGAAATAAAAAGAGAAAATGGTAAATACCTAGCCTTTATATTAATAAATTCACAAACCTTTTCTCGGGCACGTCTTTCTATAGCCCGGTATGCGCGCTTTTTCGCCAAATCGTCTTCATCGTCTGATGGGTGACTAGAGTAGTCTAGTTCGATTGTTTTTCCTATAGAAAGGTACAAATAATGCGTAGGGCAAACATTAAGGCCACAAGTTTTGCAATTCTAGTCACTAGTGAACAATGGAAATAAATACATACCAGTACTTTTCTTTGTCTTACTGGTTTTTTTGTGAACCACTCCGTCTTTTTTATTACTTTGGCAATTCCGCCTTTTAACCTTCGTTAGGCTTTCTGAGAGTTGTCGCGGAGGGTCGACAGAACTAGCGCGCGTTGTCGCTGCAGATATAGTCGCCGACGGCGTAGCAGTGTCGGTCTGCTTATTTGTGAAAATTATTTGTGACTTTTCGGAGTCAGTGTCGCCTAAGAAAGCAATCGAATGCAATACTATTTAGTGGTTTAAACCTTTTTACAAGAAAGTAAAGAGAAGCTCTACTTACATTTATAAGGAATTTCAGTCCTCATTGACGCTCGTGTTGTAGGCCTCTCACCGACCTTTGTGCCTTTAATAATTTTACTAGTTTTTGAAGTCATTCTGTTTGCCTTCGAGAATACAGAGATTAAAAAAAATAACAAGTCTACCATAAAGTGGTCGAAAATTGTGTAAACTATTTATATGAAATTATATCTAATATTTTCTAACATTTCATTAATCAGTTCAGGTGGCTTAGCTTCTATGCAAAGGCACTGTAGTACAAGACTATCGAAGTACATGTTATTTGTTGCTGCGTCGGAAAATGTTAGCGAAATTGATATGTTGAAAAATGAGTTTTAATATTATTATCCTCTGGTAAGAATTATAGATTTAAAGTTATTTTGTTTGCTATAAATTCTTTGAAATTTTACATTTGTGAATTCCGTTGTGGTAAAGAATTAGTTCATATGTTGAAGGTAAGCTTTTTAAGAAACGTAAAAATGAAAGAACAAAGTTATCGACCATAAGCATTGGAGAATCCCTTATATAGCTAACCACAACAAAGGCGCAGATTATCACGTGGATTTTTGAGTGTCCGAAACAGGGGGCCGGAAATTTTTTTTTCGAACTTATAAATTCATAATTTCTGGGTTTCTGGTCGAAATACAGTTCCCATCAAAAGTTTTCGCACCTGTAATCTGATACGATGAGGTTTTTTTTTTGAATTTCTATATTAAAATTGTAATACAAATCTAAAATATCTTTTATATAGTGACAAAGAATTTATTAATTGTCGAGAAATTAAATTTTGAAGTTTAATATTTGCCGTATTGTTACGAAATAACGCGCAGAGGTAAAATTACGAATTTCGGCCTAAATTAAGCTTAATTCGGGCCATTATTCTAAATAATGCCTATGCCCCTTATTTTGTAATAATTGTCTGGAGCGAAGTAACAAACTCGCCCTTTGATGACCGAATTTACGTTTTTGATATATTTATAGTATAAATATCAAAAATGTAGTAACGCCTTTGAAAAATTTGATCTATAATATATATACAGTATAACAAAATTTTTCAAAGGCTAAAAACATTAAATTAAGCTTCAGACTTATCATTATACTAGAAATGGTAAAAAAAACAGTTTAAAGCAGTTTTTTGTGTTTTTTAATTAAAATACAAAAATGTTTTAATAAGCAATTCGTAACAGTTATCTGATTAAAGAAGTGGTTTTTAGGTTGAGTCAAGCCTTTTCTTGTCTTCAGTAAACTTTCTCCTGTATTCGAAATCTAAGCCAAAAGAGTTATTCTGATAGTGATTAAATAAAAGAGAAACTGTAGATAGTAAAGAAAGAAGAATAAAAAACAATATAGAAAGCATTTACTATAGCTAAACCCTGTAAAACTTCTATATTTCCTCAGCACTTTTTTTTTTCAAAATTTTTAACAAAAAGTAGAGATTTGACTACCTCTCTTCAAAAGATCAGTAAGAGATCAGCATTATTTACTATTTCCATTCTCAGAAAGTTTTAAGTTGCAATATAATGAATAAGGAAAACAACAAAACATGTGTAAGGAGAAAGTTTTGAGGCTAAAATTAAAACTAACAATTATATATTGAGACTTCAAGGTTGAATATTTTAGGATCTAAGTTAGATTTTATATGAAAGTTGTAACTAGGATATTATATGAAATATACAATATTCTGAAGTTATATATATATAATTTTTAGCTCTTAACACAAATTAAAGTATATCTTAATCTGTTTTTATGTCAAATAGCTCTATATATAGATTTCTACAACTATATAAATAGTTTTTTTATCTGATTAGCAGGTTTTTATATTTGTAGACAAGTTTTTTTAGATTTTAAGATAGTCTTTTAACTCCTTTATAATTTAGTTATTTTTTTTATATGTTTATTTTTTTGCTTACCTCTTTCTTATTATATATTTATTCTTTTTTTCTTTTTTACTTCTCTACGAGAAAGTGTCATCAGATTGGTGACATTTTATTATAAAGCGGTAATTCTAACAAGAATAGTGAAAACTATATATTGATACTAAGGCTTAAATCTTTAGAAAGTTAAGGATCCTGGTGAAGGAAAATATTCATTTAGGTGGGTCACTCCTGGGTCATACTTTAGTGTTTAATCTTGATTTACTAGAATTATGTTGTAATAATGAGACAGATTGAGAGATTCTTTATTTGAACAGGCTTAAATCAGTTTATAGTAAATAATGTAGATCTAGCTAACTGAAAATATCTAATTGTAATCTGCTACCAATTTATAAAATAAAGAAAGAATTGCTGAAGTAAAAAAAAATAAAAAATAGTTAGAAATTAGAATAAGGTATAATATATAGTAAAATTTTATAAAAAATTTTTTATTAAAATTTTTTTTTTTTCCTTCGGCAATCTTGTTTACTTTATTATGGAAACAGACTTTCATTCCTATATCGGTATACGAAGAAGTCTAAAATCTATAAGTGTTCTAACCAAAGAGTAAACTCACTCCCGGCATATCTTGCAGATGCTGAAACATCTATTTGCAGTTAGGGCGAACCATTAAACTGCTGTGTCCTGCCCAGATGCAACCTGCCTAGCAACACTTGGCCTCCTCCAGAGATCTGGAACTCACTCCGGACTTATTTCCCCCAGATTCCTCAGCTGGCTATTGCTCGTCTTGTCAAGATTTTCACTCTACAATAGAATGCCGCCAAACTAATGACACTTTCTCATAGAGAAGAAAAAAAAAAAAAAAGAGAAATAATAGGGAACAAAAAAAAATAAATAATAAAAATAAATACATCAAAGAAAATAAATACTAATACTAAAGAATATAAAAAACTAAACTAAAAATCTAAAAGAAACTATTGCTAAAAAGAAGAAAACCTGCTAACCAGGTGAAAACTTCTAATTATACAGAGTAACGATCTACTATTAAGTGCGAGA